TTTCCCCCCACTCCAGTGTCTGTTGGAAGTTATCCAGTACAAAGTAATGCTTGAGTTGCACACGTCAGGCTGAGCTTTGAACCCAGCTTTCGCAATGCAGCCCAAACTCACAGCACCCGACGAGAGGTTCAGTGGGAAGCAAAGGCTAATCTACATTTCAGGGCTACATCTTCAGTAAGCACAAATAGCAAAGAGCCATCACCATCACACCCAGCTCAAGGACACTGGTCTCCTAACAGTAAAACAAATAAATTACTGACTGTGGGGCCATTGTAACAGTGTGGTAAGATGTTCAGACACATTTCTGCCATTTTCTGTTAAATGGTCTTCTCCTCCAGACATCTTCAGGTAAAGCCCAAATGGGAACTGTTAATGAGAAAAACTCCAGAAACAAGGGATGTCTCAGGCCTTCGTTGTGAACTGACTAATAAAACCAGTGTGGAACAGACTATGAGCAGTCATGTCCTCTGGGCTACTTGATGGGAAGCTGATACAGAGGCCACCAGAAAGTATCAAGAAGTAGCCAAGCAGATCCAAGATCATGACACAAGTACAAGCAGGAAGTTTTTTTTCCCACTAATACATGCTTAGCCTACTGTATTTTTATTGTATCACTGAAGGACCTCCATGCACCTCTGCTGCCCAGCAAACTAGCCTACAGCTACCTTGACAGGACATGTCACACCAGACTCCAACATCTTCAAGTAACCTTCAAACCTGATGCAATGATTTCAGAAGACCCTGACAAAAAAGCACTCGACCTCAGTGTACAACTCAACTCCTTTGGAATCTCCTGGTTTAACCATTGCTCCAGAAGAACTACTAATGTCCTAGACTTTCTAAAGCAAATTTAGTTTGGGAGTCATCAAGCACAAAAATCTCTATCAGTAAGTAAGGAAGAGACTATTTTCAGGTCTATGAGCCTAGGTTACCTGGGCAATAGCTGAGAACAGCCTACCTTTTTTAAGAGATGTAGCCAGTTTTAAGACTACCTTTCCCAACTCCAGTACAATATCCCTCAAAATTATGAGGCTGTGCACAAGGTCAGGGTCCCAGCCCATGCATGCAGAGGGCAGACATCCTCACTCCCTGTGGCTGACACAGCCCACAGCCTCTCAAGTGAGCAGTCCTGTCCTGGGTGATAAAGGTTCCTGGGATAGTTAAAAACATGCATATCACATAGAAATCCCTACCATCACTGGCAGTTCTGTAACTACAGAGGTATAGATGGAAAGACAAAGATGTCATGAGCCCCCTTTTTTTTTTAATGGACCAACTCCAGCTCTGAATTCACTGGACACAAGTCCTATAAAACAAGTCTCAGACACCTAAGCAAAGACTCCAGAGACTGCCTCTATGTCCAGTGGTTAATACGATAGCTTCTCCTCCCTTGTGACTCCAAGTTTCTGAAACTACTCAGCCCCAGCCAGCTGGCAAGCACCCTGACATTTGCACAGTTCAGAAAGCTTATCAAAGGGACCACTTTCCACTCACCACCTCAGTAACTCATGTTCCTTTTACATTCCCTACTCATACCTCCTCAAGGTCAGATCGAACAGGACACATCTTCTGCACAGGCCCATTGTACAGGACACAGCCTTGTCCTACACAGTTACCTCCTAAATCCCTGGAGGGGAAATTGCACATTTTTTCTGGCTTTTAGCTGTCTGCAGAAGTTACAGCATCCTGTGAGGTCTCATTAATGTAAAGGCAGAAGAACCTTAAGAACACCATCCTGGATTTATTCTCATGTGCCTTTGTCACCACAACGAGAAACTCTCATCACATAGTGTCTATCTGAACAGGTACATTTCCACACTGCTAACAGATGGTGAGGCTGGCTCTAAAACTAATCAGAATGCACCTTGTGTAGGAAAACAGCAGTTGCCTGAATTTGTCTCAACACTGATGTGAGAACACATTTCATGCCAGTTGCTTAAACTGCACCTCCTGTTGTAAAGCTGAACAGGCTTGGGTTTCTCTCTGTGATTAAAGAGGTTGAAGATGCCTGCTATTGCTTCCACCACTTCTGCCGTTAGGAAATGGCAGAATTTTGTTGCTGCTGCAGCTCCCAGAATTCAAAAGCTTTTACACCCAAGTGCATAAGCCTGCAGTTTGGCAATGCCTCACATGCAGAGTAGATCATAACACAGGTTTTCAGTTTATATCATCCTGGCTGCACATGGCACTGTTCCACCCTCTCTGCCTGGTCTGACACGGGTGTTTTAATATCCTGACAGTCTTACTGCCACTGAGTACAGAAGTCTTCAGTACTTCCAAGCTCTCTAGTTTCTGTCCACCCATCACTCTCCAACTTGAATTAGGTCTTTTCAAAGGCAGACCAGTTGTTCTGCCACGGTCCATGAAATGTAACACATCAAGATACAGGATTTTTTTTCCCTAATCTGCTTGAAAAGTGAGATACAAAGCTACAATTTAGACCTCAAAAAGCCCTCTGGCTAATACTTACAGTCTGTCTTCTTCTGTAGGTGAAGTTTTTCCATAGCAGCAAGCCCAGCTGCGTCCAGAAAGCCATCTTCCTTCAGAAGTGCCTAGGAGCTCCCTTTGTGCAGCAGCAGTGGCAGTACACAGCAGAGACGTTGTGACTGGGCATTAACTAGAGGGAAAAAAAAAAAGGGGAGTTGAAAGGGAAAAGCTGTGTCAGTCAGAACAGAAAAGGCAACAAGACTGGACCATGGTGCTCCCCATCACTGCCTTCTTATGCCATGCACTCCAGGCAAGCCTCATGGGTCTCAGTAAGCTCAGATTTAGACTCACTGTCTCTCACCTCAGAGCTTGAGGCACGAAAGAAATGCACTACCTGCAAGAAAAGAATTTTCCTCCTTCCTGCCCAAAAATTCCAACAGCAAGAACAGCCCAGAAAGGGGGGGAAAAAAAATCATAGGCCTTGAAAGCTGATTTTAGAGATTGCGTGAATGAGATTGAACTGTACAATTCAACTACTTTTTAAATCTTCTTCTGTATTTACTTTTATAATGGTGAGAAGTCTGCAGTCAAATTAGGAATTCTGTTGTTTTGAAATCCAGTCAACACCACCACTTGGAGAAAATGCAATGCACTTAACAGGCAAGGGAGAAAGATCCATTTCCTTGAAGATAATTGACTACGAATGACCCTGCAGCCATTCATATTTGGACAAAGTGAATGGAAAACTGCTGTTGAGTCAGGCTCAGGTCTTGCAAACACCTGGCCTCCAGCACTTGTGAGTTGGGTGCATCCAGTATGGACCTTGTGAGAATATGAGAAAGTACAAAGCACTGAAAAACATATTTGTGTCATTCATAAAATCACGGTATAGGCTTGGGTACACAGACTTCCAGGAAGACTCAATCAAATGGAAATATGAACTTATAGTACACTGAACTTCATTAAACCTTTTTTTTTTTTTTTTTTTCCAGAATTAATTTGGTATAGCTTAATTTAAGTTTAAGCTATTTCATATTAAAAGCATTTTCATTCCGAGTATGTGTCCACACAGGAATTTAACTAATCCACATCAAATTAATTCTGGTTTGTGTACTTGAATACAAAGTTGGCAGGCTCAGCATTGACTGGACAGTTAGAAGCCAACTGAAACAGAGCACAAGAATCACTCCCTCCAACATCTGTTCAGCTGGCAGCACACATCTTTTATTTTAGTGTCCCACATACCAGTACCCTAGCCCAATGATTCAGAGTTGCATGCCTGATTGCAAACTGCACTGAAATTTTTCCAAAATCCATAAAAGTGCTAGGAACATAAGACTTCCCCAGGAAATGCTCTGACCAGTCCCACACTGAAGTAAGACTAGATGATAAATGGCAATTCTGGATGTGAGATTTGAGTTAATGAATACTTGTGGCCTTTAAGTCTGATCCAAAAATAAATTCTATTATTTCAATGACTTGCAGATTAAAAAACTTGTCTCCAATAATACACATGCGCATTACAAAAAAATTCCTTAACATGACTAACAATTAAGCCCATTACACTGATTTCTACAGATAATTACACTGCAGTATCACAACAGAACAACAGTGCTTCTTATTGTGAGTAAAGAAGCAAAGAACAATGACAGACGACTACAAAATCCTAACAAATTGAACCTCCTGTCAGCATAGAGGCAGCTGGGTGTACAGTCAGCACAGATTCATTAACTTCTGCTTGGTACTGCTGCAATTCACTGACATGACCTCTGCAGATGCCCATCTCCAGAGGGTTGCTCAGCTGATCTGACAGGAGAGCTTCTGGCTGAAGCACCTTGACACTAACACGTTCTAGCTGCATGCACATCTGGCTGGTAGACAGGGAACTTCCAAATGAGCTTAGAGTGATGCATTTGACAGACTAATAGCACATCCATAGCAGGGGAAAACCCACCCTTTGTGGGCAATCTCAAAGGGCAAACCCTGACTGCTGAGGACTGTGCACACATGGCAACACACACCTTTACTTAAGGGCTCAGATACAGGGGAGCTTTGCAGCATTTCCTGTGTGTCAGTATGACACACTTAAAATTGTAATTAACATGCAATTCAGAGAAGAAACAAATTAAGGAATATCATCACTCTTTGTACCCCCCTCCACTGACCTGTTTCTGTTCAGTATCCATGGGATTTTTTAACATGCTTTTACTTGCCCCACTGGGCAAACTGGATTACTACTCAGAGTGCACAGGTGCTCTGTGACAAAAACCCTTCAGAGAACACAAGGAGAATCACTCTTT